AAATTGTTACATCTCCAAAATCTTTTTTTTTTTTTTTTTTTTTTTTTCGTTTTTTGTCGTCTGCGCATACTCTAAGTGACTTTCGTATGCTTACTAATTTTTTAATATCTCTCATAAAATACTTAATGAATTATTTTATAGATTTAGAAGTGAAATAAATTTAAAAGTGCCATTTTATAAATTTAGACGAAGAATTTCTCATTCATATCAATAAAGTTTAAAGCTTTCAGAGGTTTCAGAGACCAGCAATAAATTATGAACTAAAGAGAGTGTTTTTTAACAACCTATGACCAAAAAATATGGAAAAAGCTTGTAATTGTATCAATTACTTTGGTTATCTTTTGCACAAAACTGCACCACAAAAGTTCGTAAGCCTAGTTAAAAAATGTACGGAGAAGTTGGTATATTCGTAAAAAAAAACGTTTTTGTTTATGTTACATTTTCCTACTATAACTGCGAAAATATTCAATAAAGTAAACCAAAATTTTTAGAGTTATTGTTAATTATTAATAAAATATCATTCTAAAATTTAAAACAATTTTGTAAATTATTGCGCAAGAAAGGAGCATGTTAAGTAATCATTTCATACAAAAAACTCGAAAAACATTTATTTTTTTTCATTACTTTAATCTGAATCCTATTAAGTAAATTATGAAAAAAAATCTGATTTGAATATCTCAAAAATTTAAAAAGTTTTGAACAATTTTCAAGGCAGTTCTTGTAAATTTGGAAGAAAAAAAGCTGTGATTGGTATGGAAAACCTAAAGTAAAAATACTAGTTTTTTATATAAATATTTCCATATAAAATACGCTATGTTTACAAATATTTGAGCAATCATTGCATATATTAGACAAGGTAATTGACTCAAATAATTTTAGTTGAAAAAATACTGTGCTTTAGTATAAATATGTATGTAAGTAACAGCGGTAAAATCAATCTCAAGATTCAATACAACAAAGAAAAGACTATCAATGCTACTATATTTCTGCAGAGTTATGCATTTTCGCGATTGATTTAATAATATCCAGAAAAACAGAAAATGAAAGGTAAGCAATCTTTTTATACAAGGATGCTGTCAATATTGAAAAAAAAATATGTTTAAAACCAATCTATAAATCAACGAAAATTTCAGTAATTACAAAATATCATTTTTAATACAGTTAATTTTGTTCTTTATCTTAATATAAAATGTATACAAATTGAACATAAAATGCATATGAATTCTAGATTCTTTTCTAATACGAAATATGTATTTGTCGAAATCCAAAGCACAGAGACTCTTTTTGAAATTTAATTTAATTTTTTTCTTTATTTTTTTTCTTTATTTTAATTCTTTAATTTTTTTTAAATAAAATACCAAAAAATATTTTTAATATAATGAATTTCCAACTGCAAGATTTAAAAGTTTTTTTTTTAATATGTTACTATAGAAAATACTGTAAAAGTTACCTACGTTTCAAAAACATAAAACAGTAGCTCTCATTACTTACGATATATCCGTTTAAAATCAGCATGACCCCTTCATCCTCCAGTTGGTTGGGATGTATAGGAAATACTAGGCTTTATGCGTAAAATAACTATAAAAACCATTCTATAAAGTTCAGTTCATTTTCTAGTTTCTATCTGAAATAAGAGATGTCACCACTAAAGTTTGTTACTCAACTTCTTATTTATTTATTATCTTTAAGATCTATAGATGGCAGCTCCATCGAATAATTTATAAATCCTCTTCCTTTTCCTCACTTTTATCACGCATCATTTTTTCGCAATATGAAAAAAACTCCTGAGATTAATTAAAAATTATTCTTTATTGATACTTGTAAAATTTGTGAGTATTGAAATTTTTATGTCAAATTGAAAAAAATTTAGAAACTCCTGTGATTTGAAGTATTAAAGAATAATGTTTCATAAAAATCTTACATATTTTAATTCAAAGGTCAATAATTTTGATATTATTATAAAATTAAAATTATATATTTTGATAAATTTTTTATTTGTGTAAAATCTGATCAAATTTTGTCTCCTAGAATTTACGTTTTCCTTTATTTATAAATCATATATTTGTTTATAAATATATATTATAAATATATATTATAAATATATATTATAAATATATATGTATTGATATCCGAATGTATACGAATATATGGTATTTAAATTATTATATTATTTTTTCTTTTAATCCTGAAGAATTATATTACGATTCCAAATTTTTTAACTAAATATAATCAAGTCTATTGTTATAGGAAAAATAAAAATGGAGTTTTCGAAAACAAATTAGAATCTTTATTTAATGATTTTTAGTAAATGCAAATGCAATAATAGGAACATATTTCTTGTTCCAATATATTGGAATATGGTACTTTTTTAATAGAATTTTAGTTCTAAGACAGTCAATAAAGAAAACAATAAAAATAGGATTATAATTCCATCGAAATTTTTCTTTTCTTTAATTAGAGTATAATTTTATGCCTATTAGTACAGGAAATTAGAATTAGGAATAGAATTCAAATTCTAATAATTCCAAATATGGTATTCTTTTTAGCGGAATATTTATTCTATGACAACCAATAAAAAAAACTGTAGAAACAGTGATAGATTTCTAGCCCCGATGTGCTGAAATATGGTTTTTTTTTATATATATCGTATGGCTATCAATAAAGTTAATACTATCTACAAAGACTGCCTAAATGAAAAGAGGATAAGTGTGAAAGCATCAGAAATTACTGTAGCGTTAGTTGTGTCTCAATTCAAATTCATGAAGAAAGATTAAATTAAAGGCATTCAGGCCTTGTATAAATTGTTAATCTGTTCACGTAATAGCATATAAAGTGAATATAAAGTTAGGATACGGAGGATTCCTGTTCAACAAGACTTGACAGACAGTGATGAAGTACGCCTTTCACGATAACTTTTACAGCAATTGTTTATAACCATTTGTCTTAGTTCTAAATCGTATTAAACAGCAAACATGTGACGATAAATGTCCGCATTGCGCTAGCCTTCGACTTCAGAAATTCTTACTACTGCGCATTGTTTTGTAGACGCATATACCATAACATAACTTTATACTCACTTTAAATGTTCTTATGCGAACTGGTTGTCTCAAGCTGCAATGCAATCATTCTTCATATATTTATTTATAGCCCTGAAGGGTTAGTTATAACGTGTACCCACTTTTCCTTCATGTGAATAGAAAGCTCCTTGATATCAAACTAAATTAAATTAATTCTACCAAACATTTTTAAAAACGATTTCAATATTACTTTTTTTATTTAAAAACAATACTTTAAAGGTATCGATATTTTCTATTTTAGAGAAAAGTTGCCAAAACCCTTCGATTTGTAATCGAAACTGTAGAAACATATGATAAAGATGGAAATGGAGAACTTAATCCTGAAGAGTTAATGGATGTCCCTGTAATACAAAATGCTGTTAGGAACTTTATAGAAAACAAAGATAGTCGAGGTCAGTCCCAGTACGTATCATAATTTATTTTTTCTCTAAAACACTTGATATAACTAGTACTATAACACTATAAAACTATAAACTATAACACTAAAAAAGTATAAACTATAACACTATTTACTATAGCACTATAAAACTATAAACTATAACACTATAAAACTATAACACTATAAAACTATAAACTATAACACTATAAAACTATAAACTATAACACTATAAAACTATAACACTATAAAAAGTTTATTGAATTTCTTTTTATAATGATTTTGTATTCCATTTTTAATTGTCTAAAAATTCTTATTTTAGAATCCCATTCCTTATTTTAGAATTAGACATTGTTTTAAACAAGATCTCATAGAAAAATATTTCATTTGGTCTATACTTAGACAAAGAAAACAACTTTTTTGAAATTTGATTGTTTTTTTTTCATAAAAATTGGGCTCATTGTTAAACCATACACTTTATAACTTGAACAATAATATCATGTATATAAGGTGCTAATTTAAACTATGAGTTAATTTAAAATAGACCATAATATAGCCAAAATGGACTATACCAAAATTCAAGAAAATTCAAAATTCAATTATAAAAATTTCAAGAGAACTTAAAATGCGCAACAAAAAAGAGTTCAAGAAAAATTAATTTTTTCGATAATATGATTATATTTAAACCTAGGTGTGATTTCATCAAATTTCTAAAATATTAAGTTTTAGTTTGTCCTAAATGCACCCTTAATTTCTAAGGGTGTATTGTAACAAACTCTATTATTGTTCTAATTCTAATATTAAGATTTATCGCTGTTTTAAGTATCACATTTTGAAATTGTTCATATATATTTTTGAATATTTAAATGTTCTTAAAAGCACAATCTCATTTATACAGCAATAAGAGTTTCTCATTTATAGTTTTTAAAAAGTTGTAAAGTTTATCAGTCATGAGATGAGATCAGAAGCAAACTTAAAACTACCTCAGTGAGAGTTCATCTCTTGACAACAAGACAATACTTTTATTAGATTCATACGTTATTAATTTTTGCTTTATTTATAAAATTATCAATGAATGTATTTTCAGATATCCAAAAGGAGGAAGTGAATCAGAGTCAACAAACAAGGATCAAAACATATTCTTCGACGAAAGAATGATCATGAGAAAATGATGAATTATAAACGTCTAAAAAAGTTCTTGATTTTAAACATTTTTCTTAAATGTCTAGTCATTGCTAATGCCCGTTTTCTTACTCTATTGTATAATAAATATCATATTAAATATATTCTTTTATCATCTTTACATCTTTCACTATTTATTCACTTTATATTCACTCCATATATAGCTTTATAATACATAAAATCTTTTTATAAATATTCATCAATTTAAAATTTTATTTCTGTTTTATAATTATGTTATGCCAGTTAAGTATAGTATTATAAGTTACCCTATAATATAAAATTTATAAATAATCAAAATAATCCATTAAATCTAATATGATAATAATCATATCAAATTAATGTAATTAATTTGAGGCATTCTAAAGTTTGAAAAAAAATGCTGAAAGAGCATTTTTTGCAAATGGGAGTTTAAGTTTATTTTTAAAGAAGCAAATTACTAACCAAGTTTTAAAATCAAACATTTCGGTCAGAAAAAAAATCAAATGCAAATTTTTGTTAAATTTTAGAATTTCCAAATATTTGAACGACTTTACTTTAACATTCTAATTAATTTGAATTTAGCACGAGTAAATTGAATGCTATTTGATTTTACTATTTGCTTTTAGTTTCTGAATATGAGATCCCATGATATTTTTAATGGAATAAATCTTAAATATTTACTTTTTTATTTTAATGTTTTGCACAAGAATTTATCACATTTCCATATTAACCCTTTGACGCAGCTGGGACACTGATGTCCCTTTTACATAAATTTTTCTGACTCTCTAATTATAAGCAAAACTATATTTTGGTATTTCTTAGTTTTAAAAAGCAGTCTAATCGTTATTTAAAAAAAATTTATATTATAGGAAATATATTTGTACTAAGATTTAAAGTCCAAAAAAAGTAGTTTGATTTTTTTTCTTTCATATTCAAAAATTTATCAATGACTCATTTTGAAAATTAAAGAAATTTCAATAATGAATAACTGTTTCTCTTAGATCTCTCTAACCGCAAATATGTACAAATTTGAAAAATTATTGTTAGGAAGAGAGACGTGTTTGGAAGATTTTACCTGTAGCACAGAAAAAGACACCGGTGTTTTCATGCTGTATTTCAAAACAATAAATTATGCAAAATGCCAAATATAATATTTTTCACTTATTTAGGCCTAAATAAATACAAAATGAAGAAAAAAAACTATAAAGATGTGTTTTATAAAAATTCTGCTTCAAAGGGTTTAAGACCTAAATTGTTTTTTGCACATTTGAGCGTTTCCAAAAATATAAAAAGTTTAAATTTCTTCTTGAAAATCACTATTTCACTTATGTTCTTTAACATTAAATGTTTCATAAATTTGAATTTTATTGCTAAAAATGCGAGATACATAAAAATAAATTGCCTTATAACTAGTTTCTACAACTATCAAACTATATTTACTAAATGTTTGATTCTAAATTCCATTCTCATAGTTTCAGCAAAGTGGAAAATATAGTGTCTGGACAAAAATACTGGTTTTAAAGTATTTTGTTATCATTCAATGAATATATTCGGAAATCATATTTTCCTAGAAACACAAAAAGATTTCATATGTATAAAAATTCCGAGAAAATATATCTCGATTTCTACATAATCTTAAAATTGTTTCCGTGATGTATAACCTTATAACCTTAATATTTTGGTGATACAGGAACATTACGTACTTATGAGAAAATGTCTCATTACGGGAGAAAAAAATTCGATAAATTTCTCAATATCTCATTAGTATTGATACCATCACCAAATAGTTAAAAAAATGTTTAAAATCCGGTAACTTTTCCATAGTTATAACTTATTAAATATTAACCACGCATTTAAATTAATAATTAATTAAAAATATTTTTAAACATACATTTTTTTCGATTTCAAAATTTCATTCCTTAAATCAAGAACCCTTTATGTATAATCCTGAAAGTATATTGTTTTAGACGAATAAAAGGTAACCAATTGGTTTTTTCTTTAAAATGTTATATTTTTATTTCAAAACTTACGAACAGAAAACATCATAATGACTAGAAATGAAAAACTTTTAATAAAGGAAAATTTTTTGCTTAGATTTTTTAATGTTAATAATATTGTCTCTAAGAGCTGGAAATCAATTTTCAATCCTAGAACTTAAGTTTTCGAGTTTAAAAATAATTAAGCAAATACTAATACAAAATTGTTATTTAAATTTAAATATATTTTAAAACTACATTCTAAATTTTATTTTATTTTTCAAATTTTATGAATTCAATATATGTAATATAATGCAATATTTTATATATATATATATATATATAAAAATATATATACAATATATATATATATATATATATATATACTTTTTATAACTTTTCCACGCTNNATATATATATTACATTTTTTAAAGCATTTAATTTAAATAAAAGTATTAACTCAAAAAAAAAACCAAAGATGCTTTCTTCTTTACAAAATTTAAAACTTATTTTTTAATAAAGTTTCAGATTTTTTATGTGTTTTTAATTATTTATTGCTTACTTTTCTTTCAAACAATTTTGGATGCTTTAAAACGTATCAATTATAATAGCTGTTTTATGAATACTTAAAAAGAATTTTTATAAAGAAAAAATATTTTTTTTCAACCGTTTTCAATTATTTTTGCGTTCATTTTTTTAATGGAATCCTTTAATATTATGTTAAAGTAGGATGTCCTTCGGAGTTTCAAAAGTTACTTTAACTCATAAAATTTTTCGTAATCTCCAGAGACAAGAAAAAAAAATTATTTTGATCTGAATAATCAAATGAACTCAAAAAAATGCTGAAAGAAATATTGAGAATATTTTAAACTTGTACGCGCATAATATTCTCAACTGTTTTATTAGTGGTCAAAGCATTTTGCCATCGTATATTATATTTATGTTTGTTATAAAACTGTTGTATATTGCTAGAAGCATTTTACTAATTATTAATTTAATACTTTTCATTCACTTTGATCTAAGCCTCATTTCGTACTTTAAGCATTCATAATACTTTTAAAATCAATTCTTATTTCCAAAATATATTAAACTAGTATATAAGCTATTCGTACCATAAGGAGCATTTATTATCCAAACATAATCTTTAAACCATACCCATGCGTACTTAATACTTCTTTTATTTTCAAATGGTTTATGAAACATAATATAAAAACTAATAATAACTATTATATTATAGGTCAAAATATTTTATTGTTTTAAATTAAGAGGAAATATTTTTTTAGGTTTCTATGTTAAACTCTTTTTTTTTCATGCAGTCATAACTTAATATTTAATCTAAAAGGCCATTTGTAAATGCTAGTATATTTCTTGACAAATTATTTATAAAAACAATCTAAAAAAATTTACTATTAGCGTTTTTTATGAACTCGTATTTGCATCATCGATAAAGAAATATTAAGAATGAAAAATCTATATACTTAAGCTTATTGCCTTAAAATTATACTGCTTTACAAGTCTGTCTATATAAAAGAAGTAAATCCAATATTTTTCTATCATTTTTTGATTAATAATCACAAATAATAAGGCTTTTTAGCAGATATCTGTTATTAAAAACAGTTTTCAAAGTACATAATTTATTCGCTTTTGAAAGAATATTGACTGTTGGGAATATAATTCTTATTTTGTCGGAGATGTTAGAAAATCTCTGCCTTATACTTCTCTTGCGTTCATATAAATGTATAAAATCAGTAATGATAAATCATTAAATGTTTTTATGCAACAAAATTGAGCAAGTAGTTAATTATTGTTATTTTATAGTATCTAATGACAATTACGAAATTTTAAGTTGCATAATACTGCATAAATGCGTAATACTGCATAAATAAATTACTGAAATATTACCCGATTAATTATTAAATTACCCGACAAAATAAGAACTTATATTCCCTGCAAGAACTGCACCGATATCCAACTTACCCCGGATCACATTCTCCCCAGCCCTTACCTCATATGTTTTACAATTGGGTATGGTGCCACTGGCTTCAAAACTTGGTGAGATCCTCTACAGTAATGATGTATTGGAGCTAGCGGATGCAGTTTTGAAGGCACACGAGGCCATTTAATTGTCCATGGACACGATAAAAAAATTTAAAAAATTACTGCAATACAGTAATTTATTCGTGAATATTATAATTTAACAGTTCATGAATATAATTAATAATATTGATAAAAACAACCTTACAGATATGAATGTAATAAAAAGTTTAATGTTACCAGATTTTCAATTACAACGATTTCTTTGATACTGATGTTGAAGTCTGAAGTAAATAAATTGCATTATTTAAAAAATATATATGCATAATGCTGAATATAGAGAGATATCCAAGGCACAAGCAAGGAAAGCTTGAGAACATATGAAGATGGTGTCTCAATTTAGACTTTTGGGGAAGAGGTTGTCAAAAAATTTTAAATGAAGAACACAAAATGTTCCAGGAAATAGGCAATCCGGAAATTTCTCAGCTAGGCGTAATTTTCTAATAAAATTTTCCTTTTTGCATTCTCTCAACTTACCAAAGCTTCAATATCATTTCGAAAACGTCTCTATCTTTAAATTTTGTTCTATTATGATGTTCGTTCTTTTCCCGATAAATCAAGTTTCTGAGCTAAGCATTTTCAGAAAAGTATTTTTCTCCTTTAACTTTCGTCCATACCTACAGTAATAAATTTTTGATTATGGTGAGACACCCATTTTTACAGATACCATATCAACGTGTGTTCTTTTTTTTAAACTTAAATACACAGGACAATTAGATAGTCAAGTAAACTTTCGGTTACTTCACAATATTATAAAACTTTTATTTTGTACTGAAAATTTCAAATTCATTGAAACTAATTGTTTAAAATTCAACTTTGAGCCATTCAAATATATATATATATATACAGGGTTATTCATAATTCCCTCCGGGGCTTCAAAGCGTTATAGTAAAAGAACAAAAACGAATATGGCAAAAAAGAACATATGAAATTATTCCGAAAGTATTCAAGTTTTAATTGAAGCAGTTGCCGGTAGATGACAGTAACACTGAAACCAGTTGTAGTAAAGAAAAATGGCGTTTGCAGGGGGAGGGAATTATGAATAACAATATTCTGAGAAAATAAGTGTAAGAAAAGATAGTCGAAAGCAGTTCCATCACCAAACGTTAAAAAGAAGTTTATACTTGAAGTAATAAAAAAAGAATAAAATGATTACTTTAATAAACAATAATGAAAAAATGTATATTTAAAGTAATTTATTTTCTTTCATATCCTTTACAGCAATCTGATTAAAAGTCAGCTGACATTGACATTTTTTGCTCATTTATAGTCCTTAATAAATATCTCTAATGTATTGTTGCTTTCTCTCACTTGTCAAAGTTCCGCCAGAAAGTTTTTCAACCAGATTAAGCCATCTTGATGATAAATTCGGTCTTTGGAGCTTCAGACTAGAAATCTCATTATCAGACAATAAATCAAATCGTAGTCCATCCGAAAGGTTTGCTGAATTATCAGGGACAGGAAACTCTGAATCCATTGATGGTATGCTTCGCTTTCTGTTGTAGTTGAAACAACATGCACGGAACATGGCTGTTCCGCAAGCATTTGCACATTCAGGGCCGCATGCATTGCATGCCATTGAAACTACCTGAGCAGGTGGCAATAATGTAAATAGCATCAACATGGAGAAAAGAAAGATACCTGCAAAATTTAGAATTGTTATAAAAATATTTAATTATAATACAGTCAAAGAATTCTTATAAATTAAAGGCTTAAAACCTTTTTTTGCCGTATTATTTCAAAGCTGAAGAAATAATACGACAAAAATGAGGTCATAATGAGGATTTCCTTGTTATACAGTTTAAAATGGTTTTAATCTGCAAACTTTTGATATTCAGTTGAAGTACGATTAAGCTAAATGCGTATTCAGAAAAGAAAATAAAACAAGCTAAATAAATTTTAGATTTTTTTAATTTAAAATACCTTTGTTATGATTTAGTAACTTAAGCTCTTTATTATTATAGAAACAGATATAATGAATTATAAATTTAGTTAGAGTGTTATAAAACATAGAACGGCTGATAAACTGTAAATGTATTTGACATAACATTCTGTTTTGTAAGGTACGACTTTTAACAGAACTAAAGACATTGATCAAATGAAACTAAAAGCATTCTTCAAATAATTTAAATATTTAGAAGAAAAACTTATAACACATCATACAGAAAACGAAATAATAAGAATATTTAAGATTCATCTTAAAAGTAAGATTTTGTTTTTCTACTTACTTGTAGACTTAAAATTTTTTAACAGTTTTTGCATTAGAATAAACAAATGCAATCAGCAAAATTTCTAGCATTTGCTTATTTACAGCATTCTTAAGATTTTTTTAATTGTTTTGCGAAGAAGCGAGAAAGATTTTTCAGACATAACGTCGATATATCAACTGTTGCAACTGCACTTTTCTAAATACTTTTTGAACTTTCAAAAAATGTAATTTTTTTAAATATTTAAATTATTTTTCTCATCTTTTTTAGAACAAATTATTATTTTTTCGTTTCAGTGTTGTAGAAATAGGATTTGAAACTGTGAAAAACTAAATATATAATTTTAAAATTAACGAAATAAACTAAAACATCTACTGAATTAAATAAAAGCCGTAATCTACCACACTCTTCTCCTTAGTACAACTAACAAACATTGTGTAGCTGCATTAAAAAGAGACTGCGAAAGTATCATCAATGAGTCCGTGGTGAGCAGTGTTGAAGTGACACCACTAGAACAAAAATTTTGCGAATTAACCCTTCTTTGCAAATTGCGAATTGACCCTTCTTGGAAATTTTCATCATAACGCTTAGTGAACAAAAAATTTTACTCAAAATAGGTGTACTGTAAATTGGTGTTTGTTGGCAACTTTTTTTTCATAACAATTGCGTAAAGAGGAATAAAGCTGTCAAAAAAATCAAATTTCACAATCATTATAGCAGGTTTGTGTTTATCATTCCGCGGTTTGCTGTTGATGCTTGCGATTTCTTGAATGTTTTTTAATAACTAATCTGAAATTGTTTCGCTTATAAAAGCGATAATGAATGAAAAAAGAGGTTTGTTTTTGGTGTTTCTGTTATTTTTTGTACAATTTAGATCGAATACCCCAAATAATCGTCCCAAAACTATGTGACAGAAATTTAAATCACTATCCTGTTACTCTATGTTTATTTTATATTATTTTTGGAGAGAAATTTAGAAAAGACAAGGACATTGAATATTACTTGAACCAGTTAGAAGACGACTGAATAACATGGCCTTGATGACAAAATTCTGACGGCAAGTACCTTGATGCAGATGAAATTATAAGAGCCTTGCAAGAGTTTGTTGATAGTTGTTTTTGTTTTTTTAATTATCATCAGAAATAAAAATGATACAAAGATATTTTGCTTCATGTCAATTTACATGAGGATAGATATTTCTCAAAAAAAGAAAAAATCTTGCAAAGAAGGATTAATTTGCAAGTCCTAGTAAACGCGTAAGAAAATTTTTTAATAAACGTTAAAATATTAACAAGCAGTCTGAGAAATGTGGTTCACGTATGATTTTCTATTAGATTTGAATTAATTGTTAGCGTTAAAATAAAGCTACACTAATGGGCTGTTACCAATGACCGGAAATTTATTCTTAGGGATGAGCTGGAAATATTACTAGAGCATGCACGCAATTTGCTGCACGGTGATAATTACCCTAATAACTTAAATCGTCCTACCATGTATTGCCTTCCCATCCTTAAAACCATTGAGGACGTTAAATTAAAGTAGATGCCGAAGTGCCAAAGCGCGATCATAGAAAGTGTAATCTGAACAGACATCTAAGCAAATAACGCCCAAACCTAAGCATAAAAAATTTAAGACTCTACCTACCATACCGCCATGCTGGACGTTAAAAAAATAAAAAGTCTACTTCCATCAAATCATGACGTTGATTCACAAGTCTATTATTGTAACAACAATTTTAGGGAAAGAAATGCAAAGTAACCACTCTAGCATTTACAATAGTATAACTTAAGTGTAATTTAGAAAGTGTACATTGCGTTTGTTTAGACGAAAAGTATAGCTACTCCTACTTTTACTACTCATAATTTGCATGCATTTGAGATGAATTTTGCCAAATTTTAAAATAACAGCTATCTGTTTCGATATTACACGAAAGAAAAATGATCTGGTAAAATTACCGTACTGTATGGTAAAGACATTTCTGGTAAAAAAAAAACACGATTTTGGTTATAAAACTAAAATATACGGAATTTAAACCATTCCTTTGGCAATTTTTCCGTTCATGTGGTAGAGATTTAACGAAAATTCTAGTTTTCAAAATTATATTTTTTATTACCACAAGTTAAGTAAAAAAAAATTAAAAGTAAATTTTATGCCATGCTCTAAAATATCATAATAAAATAACCGTATTCTACCACATTTAAAAAAAAATTGCACTTCACATTTTAAAACCATATTTTATTAATTTTACCAAAATCATTACCAAAGTGTTTCTGTAAAAATTACCTAATGTTTCGGTGTTTCCATAGAGCCAGAAACACGATAAATTTTAATATATTCCAGTAGTCCTGACTGTATTTATTTTTTAATGCACTTTAAGAAAAGGTTTGAAGAAAAAATATCATGAAATTGAAAAACATATTATTTGCTTATGTTTTTAAAGAAAAGTAAAAGAATACAAATGAAAATAATTCATAATACATAAATAATTAATACTTACTGAAATATTATTGCTTTAGTCGAGACAAATAATTTTCATAAAGATTCCTTTAATATTTTTTTAATTATATTGGTCTACGCACTAAACATTAGATTACTCCGACTAGACTAAAAATAGTTGTTCATTAAATAGTAATTATTTTTTTAAAAAAAAAACAAGTTTCAAAAAATTAAATAAATTTTCAAAAATAATTATTTCATCTTTAAATATAAAAGTGTAAAATAAATCAGAAGTTCTGTAATCATTTTTTAATGTCTTAAATGAGTCATCTAATAAATTCATAGATTAAGAATTTTAAGTTGATTATAATACTTTAAAATATTTATGTTGAATAGATTGAAGAAATTGATTTATAAAAGAATATATCTGAAACTGAAATGTATTCGTTCTTAAAAAATATTTGTCTCTTAAGAAGATTACGAATAAAATACCAACATTAAAAAAATCCAGCTAATGAAGTAGTTCATAATCTCAGCTTTTTCAGTTTTTATCGCTAACAATTGAAAGTCTTTAATAATATTTAATATTTCACTACGTAGATTCTCAAAAGAAATTAAGCTTTCACTTTTTTTAATTAAAAAACATTCCCAATTCGTATTGTTCAAGTTTTGTGTAAATTTTGTTAAATAATCTTTTCATATAGTCGTATATAAAGGAAATAATAAAAGCTTTTAAAGAGATTAGATTTAGTATGGAACACTTTCATCAGAATATTATACGTTTTTCTATTGCCTTTTACTTAAAAGGAAAAATATAATCATATTTTCACAATTTTTTTTCGCTCAATGTTTAAAATATGAAGAAGAAAAGAAATAATTAATAAAAAATGTGCTAACAATATTTTAAAAACCACTTTTCCTTATATAGTTTAGGGTTTCATTTTTAAAATAATGATGATTTGTACTGCAGATAGGGCTTAACTTAAAAAGAAAAAAGTAATTAGACAAAATTAAAAATTTAAGAGCTAATCTAAAACAAAAAATAATATCTTTTTCAAGCATTTGAAGTACTTGAAATTTGATTGTAACTTAAAATTATTGTTACGCTATTATCGTTGAAATTATATAAGAACTCAGAAAATAACAGCACTAACCCAAAACATTTTATAAACTCTGTAAAATATATTATTATAAACTGCATTGTTGCAAACTCTGTTCATTTTCCTGCAACAGGTTTATGCAAATTTGCTTTCGAGGACGTGCACTATTAAAATGATGGATCAAATTACCGTAAGAAATACACTCATTTAGGGTGACAGTACTTCTTACTGTAACATCCATTCTTTACAGGTATCATTTTACTATTTGAAGGAGCAAAAATCTGTTATGTCATAATTTTTACAGTAATATTTATCGTAAATCACCGAATCACTATTGTTAAATAATTATTACTGTAAAATATACGATGTAAAATTTTACAATCAAAATGGACTTTAGGATGTAATTAATACACGGATGATGCATCCAGGGTGCCGGTACTTATTAACGTTTAATTTTTTGCAGTGTCTAACACGTTAAGTCTTATAACTTATAATATATTGGGATGTAAGTGCAGTCGTAAAACTATTTTAGAAAAGAAATATATAAATAAAAGAAATTATAAAAAAAAATTTATTTTATTTCTACAAGTAATGTCGATCTATTTTACATCAATACTCCTTACATTTGCAGAGAGATTCAAAATCTATCTAGTCTATTAGATCAAAATATATTAGACTAAGGCGTTATTTTAACCCTGTTCTGCCCGGCAACTAACAACGTAAGTGCTTCTTGATAGATTTCGAGAAAAGCACTTTGACAAAAGTTTCCTTCCCCTTGCAAATGCTAAACTGAGAAAAAAAATATGGCCACCAAATATATAAACTACCAGAATATGGCAAAACTTACCTTTTTTATGGCTCTATGGGAACACCAAAGAGCTTGATAATTTTTACCGAAGTGCGTTGGTATTTATTTTGGTAAAATTACAATAAAATATATTCTTTGTAATATGTGATAATATTAGTAAGTCTGGTGAAATTTGATAATTTTATTATCATATCTTATATCATGGCATATAAACTATTTATTCGGTTAAATTTACTTTTAAGTTTGTTTTTTTTTTTATTTTATTTTATATTAAATGTGTAGTAATAAAAACTATAATTTCGGAAATCAGAATTTCCGATAAATCGTTACCCTAAGAACAGAAAAATTACCAAAAATGAATGGTTTAAATACTGCATATTTTGGTATTATTGACCAGAATGTTTTCCTTCACCAAAAATGTCATTACAGTACAGTACGGTAATTTTAACTGAATTTTTTCTCCGTTTCTCAATGCTGAAATAGAATTTCAGGAAGTTAATGGAAAAAAATTTATTTTTGAAAAGAAAGATTTGCAATATATAGTCATTTATACAAAAATACCAAATAAAATGAATCTCCCTCTTATGTTTTTTGCCACTTACACGCTGTGCTATACTGCATGAAACGCAGTAACTAAATTTTCCATATTTATTTCAAGCAATTTTCAATCAGATTTGCAAGTTAACTAATAAACGAAAACAAATAATTAATATTCAATTAAGTTTTTAGCATTTCATTTCATTCAGTTTAATTAGAAATTGCAGAAATTATAGCATATTTTACAAGAAAAAAATACTTATAAAAAAAATAGAAAATTTTAAACTGTGAGGCGTTGTGTAAAAAATAACGCCAATTAACGCTATGAACAAAACAAAGCGTAGCAATCTGATTCATAGCTTTTTAAAATAATAGTAGCTTTTTTAAGAAAGTCTGTAGCTTTGGAAGCAAAACTAATTTCAGAATTGAAATCTCTATACCCGAATCAGACAAGATCAAGTATTTGTATAAATGTAACAAAATATTTGTTCCCCAGTGTAATGGTTTTTAAAGAGTCTTCTTAAATTATTGCAATAATTCAAATTTAAATTTCATTTAATAAGGAATATTTTAGTAATAAGTAACTTGAAATATTTATGATGAAATTGATAATTTCAGCAACACAGTTATCGAAAAATTGCTGAAACGTGGAGTAAATTCAAATCTAATTTTTCAAATATTGTGAAAATAAGAGTTGCTGAAATAAAATTATTCAAAATAATTAAAGATTATCTTGATAAAATTAGCTACGTCTTCCATCAAACAAACAATTCTCGATCACCCCGCGTTTAACTACTTTCAAACTTAATTAAACTGTTGTCACAGCTTAATTTTAAAATACACGAATTCTTGCTTCCTTAATTTAAGCTGTAACATTGGATGCCTTGAAAAGAAAATAATAACTACAAGATGAGACATGAAAAACCTTAAATATCCATCACAAAAATGCTCCTTGTACGATAAAAAGGGAACTAAAATTTTTCCACCTTCCATTTTATAAGAGGCTTTAGTTTAATGTAATAATTATGTACTTTTTCATGTACTTACTCATTTTCTTAGTGAGTATACGTATAGTTAACGAATAACTTAAATATGGCTCATCTTTTATTCGAGTAACTGATTTACTTATAGATTTCGCCTCTTTTTTTCTTAAGTAATATAAATCATTACTTAGAATCCGTGATGATATCCATGATTATTTGAGTGTAGATTAAAATATTCAGCGCAAGCTAAAATGGTACCAATTTTTAATACTATTAACTATTAGTTCATTTTATAAATAGCTATTAATGAGAAACTTCGAGTCGCTGTAATTCAGGGGACAGAGCATTCGCCTTCCTATGTGACGCAGGTTCGAATCTTAGTGGTGGCTGGTTGATACGATTTCTACCCCTGCCTCACACTGATCACTGTGCTGACGTTAAAGATTCTCTAGGTAGAATCATCTTGACCTCTGGTTAAATAAGGTAGGTTTTCGTGGTTTGCGTCTCTATGTAACACAAATGCGGAATACAGCCATCAAGAATTCACCCATGAAGGCTGGCTTGCTCCATTGCTTGATCTCGGAGTTCTCTTATTTTCTGGTTTGGGTTTAAAATTACAAGACTATGGAGTTGATTATTGATAGTTGTAAACTCAGCATTGGATCAGCTGTTCAACGCCGGTTATGAAATAAAATAAATTGAGAAGCAGCGTAGCAAAAGAAATCTAACACTATATATTTCCTTTTTTCATATAAAACGTATATGGATTAAACAAAACGGCTATTAACCGCGATTCAAGAGCAGTTGAAAAGCAAAAGTTTTAATATCATTTGAATAAATGGAACTAAGAACAGAACTAAGTTTTATTCATTTAAAATAACTTTTCTGTTATCCTTTTGACGGTGCATTCTCAGTTTACGTCTTTAAAAATGATATATAAATGCATATTTTAACTGACTTATCCTCTCTTGATTAAGAATAAGCTGTTATATTTAGTATTGATATTAGTATTCATTGGACAGACTTACCTACTCTCTGATTGATTTGTCTTATGGCCATGTCAGAACATGCATCCACAAAAAGAGTGAGGAAATGAAGAGTCATACCTTGAAATATATAGTATTTTGAAATCCCCTTGGAGAGGGATTTTTCGGCTCAGAGATAGTTAGAGAAAAAAAAGTTGCCAAAGTTTGCATTAAGCTGAGATAAAGCAACAGATGTGGTGTAAGAAATTCCCACTAGAATTAGTATATCCTAAGCCAATCCTGAATACTTCGTTAGGGTGTTTAGAAGGTTTTATTCGAAGTAATCCCGTAGAGGGAAGCTTTAAGAGAAATTGTTCTATATTTGGAAAAATATGAGTGGGAGTATAATATGATTTATATCATGTATCTTTTGAATCAATAAATATTTGCAAATACACCTTATTATAGTGCATTAAGACCATAAAATACTTTTAGGATTGTTTGAATTGGATTAAGTAGAGAGTTAAAAGGTTCTTTGGGCAAGAATCTTTTATGCTGCACTAAATATAGACTATATTACGATATTCAAGTTGAAGAAATAATGGTATTTTAAACTGAGTCTGATAAAAGGCAAAATAGAAAAAAAGGTGCAAAGAACAAAAAAAAAGATAAATATTATTTTAGGTGCTTAAAGAATGCTTCTTTTTGTCTTTAAAGAAAAAATTATATTAGATTGAGTGCACAGCAATGCTAGATATAATTTTTGTAGGAAGTTGAGTTATGTGGAAAATAACTTTAAAAAAAGTCTTCAATTCTGTTAAAAATGTCGTATCTACTTAAATCACCTTTAAATACAACTGGAATAGTGTGGCTTCCGAATTATATACATTATTTTTATAAGGTAAGGCGATATACGTTGGGACAATTTGAAAACAAATATTTTTATTTTTACTTGGGTTAAGATTACGGTAGAAATGTAAGTAACATCTTATTGCTTATAACTTAATGAATCTATTAACACTTTAGAGTTAAAAAGATGTTATTTCATAAGAGAGTAATAAATTGTTTTTACACCCTTAAAAAGCATGCAAACATGCCAATGTACCACACCGTGCTGCAACCTTGGGATGCAAGGTGTAGTACCTTTGGATGCATGATATTGTACTAAATGAAAAATAAACAAAGTACAGTAAATAAATCTTATTTGATGGATATGAAATATGAAACATTGAAAAGGCTAATGCAAGAAAAATAATATCAAAAAAATTAAAAAGGCTTCTTTATCTATCAGATTAGTCCATATGCAGTGAAATTCACAGGGAACTTGAATGTTTGCATCTGATGCAATGAAGACCCTGTCAATGAGGGTTAAAACAATTTAACAAGCGCAAGATTCCACTCATTCCCGTTTTAAAAATTTAGTCCCAAGATACAATACATTAAAAAAAATGGCCCGTAAAAGTGTTTGTGGTTAGCTATTCAGATTGACTAACCATGCCATTAAATAGAACACAATTAAAAGTTCAATACACTATCTTAATTTTTAGCACTTATCAAATACGAAAAATAGAAAATAAAATAAATGAAATAATAATAATTTACTTTCCGATGAAATTTTTTAATTTTAGTTTCTAGCTCCCATAAATCTTAATTTAAAGCTGCTAGCTACTCTACACTAACTTTTTATTTTATTTTATATCCGTCGTTGAACAGCTGACCCAATTTGTGGGTTTACGACTACTAATGTTCAACTCCGTACGCTTGAATTTTGAACCAATCCAGAAGACAAGAAAACTCCTGGATCAGTACCCCCAGAGGTTTGGATTTGTTAAGGGAACATGGAGGACTTTACGACTCGACAGATTTAGCGCGCATCAGTCACCATTTACTACACGGTGAGTCTTCTTCCGGTGGGGATCGAACCCACGAACTCTTGAACATAAGCCCAGCGCCCTACCGACCAGACTATCCCGACTACACTAACTTTTTTTTTACAACCGTTGTTGAACAGCAGACCCAATTTTCGGGTTTACGATTACTCGTGTTCAACTCCGTAGCCTTTTAATTTTGAATCCAATCCAAAAGACAAGAGAACTCCCGGATCAAGCATTGGGAGATATTTGCCTTCATGGACAACTTTATGATGGAACTAACTCGCATTTGCGTTACATGGAGAGGAAGACCACGAGAACCTTCCACTCTCTTCACAGGAGAATTCAGATTTAGCCTCCATAGCTATAATAGGTCTCGTTTCATTCAGAGAGAACCTGGAACCTTGTATCCTCCATCAGACATCCATAAAAGAGATGCATATAAAGGAGGTTGTACCTGTGCGTCAAGTGGTATCTTTTTTGGTGGACTGTCCTTACACGTGGAACTGTGAATGCTCAAGGGTATTGATATGACTTCCTCAATATGCGTGTGCTCCCTTATGTTGGCACAATACATGATAATCTCGTGCAACAGGACAATGACACAACATTGATGATTATATTCAGCAACAAATAATTCAGCACATGGAGTGGCCTGCTCAATCACCGGACTTAAATCCTATCGAGCATGTTTGGGATGTTTTAGAAAGACGTCTATCTGCTCTCAATCTTCCTCTTCTAGTCCTTGCTACGCTTACGATTGCTTTGCAGGAATAATGGCTCGCACTTCCAACAGAACTGATAGACCGCATAATTGAAAGCATCTCTGCATGTGCTGTATTGCTGCTGGAGGAGGGCATACTCCATACTGAAGATACTTTTTCTATTCCAAACTGACACGCCTGATTTATTCATTTCATACGTATACTAATTTCTATGTAACACCATAATTGTCTCGTTAATACTTTTTATGTTATTTTATACATTAATATGTCCACTATAATATGTTCCAGTTTCATTAAACTCCCGTAACTTTTTGAGTAAGGGTCATTTTTGTGATTCCTCCCTTATATATGATAACCGTTGTGCACTGTTAGAAATTTATATAAAAAAGAGTTAAATAACATTTATTTAATTGTCATTTTACCATAATCTAACAAAACAGTCAAATGACCATAAAAAATATGGTATTCAAACTGTCAACTCTGAAGAAAAAACTTTATTAACTGCTTTCACTTAATGCGTTAAAACAACAAAAATTTCATCGCAACAGCTAGGTCACCTTAATGAAGTCATTTAGTTCCTTGCAGATGGGTACATGTCTTAGCCGAGAGAACTAATCTGATAGATAGAACGGGGAATCGAGTCCCGCCATTGACCCACAACATTTCCCCCATTCCCTTCAACCCATGAAGAGCTTCCAGTGTACTGCACTTCACAATACCCTCATTCACGCTTGGATGGCAGCATCATAAGGCTGTTTAACTATGTCCAATTAAAATTCTCTTTTACAGTTTTGAAACCACGATAGTTATAAATGGTTAAAAGGCCGTATAGTTTTGTTTTCATGAATTTTTAATCATTGAAGTTGTTAACGGTATCGTAGCCGTAAAAGTAAAAAATGTTCTTTACCGTAAACCTTACAGTTGCTGATTGGATGGGCAGGCAGCTGCCGATTATTTCCCCATAATTTTGGAAAGAAAATTCTGATAGTGTAGTACTACTTTTATCAACTGAATCCCTTTTTTATTGTATTCTCTTGAATATTAATGGGAACTGTTTCATATTATTTGATATGCCAAAAAATTACTAACGGTCGAACTTGAAGATTAAGTTTGTCACGCGTACAGTTGTTTTACTTCTGTCAATCCATAACAGACCTCTACTCTTCTCAAATCTTCAACCTCGTACAACCTCGCTTCTAAGACCATTTAAAAGACAAGGAAGCTTTTCACATAACCAATTTATTAGCATTATATAAGAAGAAAACCATGAAATTTTCCTTGAAAATAAATCAATATGGGCACACAATGGCACAAATAAAAGTTGTGAGATTTAAATCCAAAAAATGCTTCAGTCAGAATAGTAAGGGTTTTAAATCTATCAATAGTTGTCATAATATAACAAGCAAATACAAAATATGCATGTACTTATAAGACCAATTTAATTAAGATAAAAATCTAAAACTAATTAAAATAAGAACTCGTGGTGTTCCCAAATTCAATAGCTCTTGAATTTTTTCAGCGGAATATTCTCCAGAAATTATAAATATTTTTTTTAAAAGTTTTTTTTCTTTCTGACCACTAGTATTATTAAAAAATCGTATGCTCTTAAAATAAATAAAAATTTAAACATACTTCATTGTATTATACGCATAAAATGTTTTATATTATTTTTCTATCAGCTAAAAAAATATAGCAAAAAGCTCAACGCATTTTCAATGACGAAAACATTTTGCTAAAGCAAATATTATTCATATATACCTGTTTTTTCTATTGCAAGGCAATGGAATTGATTCTTTGTAAGCTTCATACTCTCTAAAAAGAGATAAGAATAATATTTGGAAAGAATTCTCATGACTGCATTCAAAAACTTAAGTAGCTGCGCATGTAGTACATTATATATCATAGTATGTGATAGTTTATATATATACATAAATGTACGTATATATTTGTCTATAAAATTTCGTTTACTTTTAAACACTTCTAATTTAAAAAAGTTTTAATAATTTGAAATACTTAAAATTAAATATTTCTATATTTAATATTTAAACTTGAAGACCTACTGCACGGTGAAAAAAATTCTGTATATTACTGTAAAATTTCTGTAAAATTACTGTACTGCACGGTTTTGTGGTAAACTGACATTTCTGGTAAAGAAAACAATAATATTGGTTAATATCATTGGTTAATATACGATATTAAAACCATTCATTTTTTTAATTTCCCCGTTCATATGGTAACTATTTACTGGAAATTCTAGTTTTCAAAATTATGGCTCTTATTACCACACATTTAGTAGCAAATATAAAACTGAGAAGTAAATTTAACTGAAAAATAATAATTTTAATTATTATTAATAATTTTAATTAAAAGTTATTTTTATACCATGCTCTAAGGTATCATGATTAAATTACCAAATTTTATAACATTTACCAAACTTTAACGCAAATAATAAAACAATATTTTATTGTAAATTTTGCCAAAATCGTTACCTATGTTCGTCAGTAAGAGTTACCGTCTTTTTGC